AAGTTAAAACCAGTGGCGTAAATAACACTTCCGCGGCACTTAAAATATCGAAAAAGTGAGAAATCGAAATAACCCAAAATCGAAAAGTTAAAAATGGAAAACTGAAACATTTTAAACAAATCAGAAGTACGGACAATGTCAAAATATAGAAAACAGATAGCCAACCGGAAAAATCATAAATATCATTATTAAACAAAAACGTGCGTATTTTCCTTTTTTTTTATCGTCTTTGTTTGCAATTTTTCCATTTCTCCAGTGATTTTATGATTTTTCTTCTTTTAATGTGCACTTTTTCAATTTCTGGATTTTTAATTTTTTTTTTTTGATTAGCAGTTTTTGGTTTTCAATTTTTCTTTTTCAACTTTTACTAGATTTCTTCATTTTTAGTTTCTTCAATTTTTGATTTGCATTTTTTCTAGTTTCCATTTTAAACACTTATGTAACAATAATTTCAAAAATGTTTCATTTTTTCAATGTTACGATTTTAGAATTTTCCCAGTTTGAATGATTGAATTTTAAAACTTGTTCATTTATTCAACAGTTTTTTGATTTTTCAATTCTCCAGTTTTTCTATTCTTCAAATTTTCGAGTTGCAGTTTTACGTTTTGCTTTATTATTTTTTTATTTTTACAATTTTTTTATGTTTCAGTGGTCCAATCTTATAATTTTTTGGTTTCTCAATTCCAGATTTTCGTGTTTTTTTTGTTTCTTCTTTTTTACAGCATGCAACTCCTCTTTGAGTTTTAAATTTTAATTTTTTCAATTTTTCTATTTCCCAATTTTTGGATATTTCAATTTTTAGATTTTGCAATTTTTCTATTTACAGTTTCACGAGTTTACAATTTTTAGATGTTTTAATTTTTCACTTGTTCACTTTAGATTTTGCAGTTTCTCTCTTTCTAATTTTAAATATGTAATAATAATTATAGTTTTTGAAATTATTACTTTTTCAGTTTTACTTTTTTAGAACTTTTTTCGATTTTTCAATGTTTCCAGTTTTAATTTTTCAATTTGTCAATATTTAATTTTTCGATTTTTTTATGTGACAGCTTTTCGATTTTATAATTTTAACGATTCTATAATTTTTTCATTTTACAATTTTATTGCGATTTTCAATTTCTCGATTCGATTCGTTTTTCCTTCTTTCCAATTTTTCGACTCACATTTTTTCCGATTTTTAAGTTTCTCCATATTTTAGTTTTTTCCGATATTTTAGTTTTTTGATTTTTAACTCTCCGATTTTTCATTTCTTCATATCTTCGACTTGCAGTTTTTGGTTTTGGTTTTTTATTTTTTTATTTTTACTATTTTTCGAGATTTCAATGTTGCCGAATTTATAATTTTTTGTGTTTTCTCAATTTCAATTTTTTCAATTTTTCGTTTCTCCAATTATTCAAATTGCAATTTTTCAGTTTTTCATTTTTTTGTTTCTTCTTTTTTACACCATGCAACCCTTCGAATTTTATTTTTTAAAGTTTTAAGTTTTCCGATTTTCCAACTTTTGGATATTTCAATTTTTAGATTTTGCAATTTTTCGATTTGCAAATTTTCATTTCGGTTTATTATTTTCACTATTTTTTATTTTTTCATCTTTCAATGCTCTGATTTTAGAATTTTTCTTTTCTCCAAAGTGAAAATTTTCAATTTTTGGATTTTCTAATATTTCGATTTTTCAAGTTTTAGATGGTTTAATTTTCCGTTTTTCCAATTTTAGTTTTTGCAAATTCTCGATTTTTCAATTTTTCGTTTCTTTAGTTTTTGATTTGCAATCTTTCTAATTTTCATTTGAAATATGTAATAATGATTACAATTTTAAAAATTTTTCAATTTTTCAATTTTACTAAGAATTTTAGAACTTTTCCATTTTTCATTTGTGGATTTTAAAACTCTTTCATTTATCGGATTTTTCAATGTTTCTTTTTGTTTCTTCAGTTCTTTTACAATTTTTCGATTTTCCACTTTTTCGGTCTTGCATTTTTTTATTGTTCAGATTTTCGATTTTTTAGTTTTTCTGATCTTACAGTTTTTTGATTTTTAATTCCCCGATTTTTCATTTCTGCAAATTTTCGATTTGCAGTTTTTAATTCCGGTTTTTTATTTTTTCATTTTTACAATTTTTCGATATTTCAATGTTGCCGATTTTATAATTTTTTGTCTTTTCAATTTCAATTTTTTCAATTTTTCGATCTGCAATTTTTCAATTTTTCATTTTTTTATTTCTTTTTTACACCATGCAACTCTTCGAGTTTTCACTTTTAAATTTTTCAATTTTTCGATTTTCCAACTTTTGGATATTTCAATTTTTCGATTTGCAAATTTTCGTTTCGGTTTCTTATTTTCATTATTTTTTCAGTTTTTCAGTTTATCAATGTTCTGATTTTATGATTTTTCTTTTCTTCAATGTGAAATTTTTCAATTTTTCAATTTTACTCTTTCAATTAGTGGACTTTCCAATTCTGCGATTTTTTAATGTGACAACTTTTCGATTTTATAATTTTGACGATTCTATAATTTTTTCATTTTAAAATTTTTAGGTTTTTCAATTTCTTGATACGATTCGTTTTTCTTCCAGTTTTTCGATTCACATTTTTTCCGATTTTTAAGTTCCTCGATGTTTAGGTTTTAGTGTTTCAATTTTTAGTTTCTTCACTTCTTTTACAATTTTTCGATTTTCCACTATTTCGGTTTTGCATTTTTTGATGGTTCAGATTTTCGATTTTTTAGTTGTTTCCAATTTTTCAGTTTTTCGAGTTTTAATTCCCCGATTTTTCAGTTTTTCAATTTTTCAACTTTTCGAATAAAAAAAATGGAAAAACTGCAAAAATGTAAAATTAAAAAGTGAAAAATTAAAAAACGAAAGAATATAAAATGAGAAAAAAAAATGGAAATTAAGGACTTGAAAATTGAAGAAACGAAAAATTTAAAAATCGAAAGATTAACAACTGAGAAACTTAAAAATCGAAAAAACGAAATATGTATTGTCAAATTGAAATATTGAAAATTGAAAAAATTGGAAAATCATATAACTGGAAATCCAAAAATTGCAAAATTTAAGAATTGGAAAATCAAGGAAATGAAAAATCAGAGGGAAATTTTGGAAAATTTAATAAAGTAAAAATTATAGCATCGAAAAGGAAATGAAAAAACGAAAAACTGATATAAAATAGAGGAAATGATAATTAAAAAGACGGGAAAATAAAACATAAAAATCAAGAACTTGAAAAATTGAGGAACCCAAAAATTGAAAAATCCCAAAATTTGAAAAACTGTAATATGGAAAAAATGCAAAATTGAAAAATTGATAAAAGAAAAATCATGAAACAGAAACACTGAATAATAGAAAAACTGGAAAATGAAAGAAAATGAAAAAACAAAAAACCGTAAAATCGAAGAAAAAGGGCATACGAAAAATTGTGATATCAAAAAATTAGTCAAAGAGAATTGAATCGAGATTTTTAGAAAAATTATAAGATTTCATTTATCGACTTTGATTTTTTATGATAACCCTTATAAGTAAAAATAAAGATATGTATGTAATGTTTAAAGTACTTTAGTAAGTTAATTTTTTCGAGTCTTTTTGTACAAGTAATTCTAAAAAGTATGAGTGCATTGATAAACCACAAACATAGACGGATAATATTTTGCATAATTCAAAGAGGAATTTTTATTTGTGTAAAATTTTGATATGACATCTTAAATTTTTTGGAAAAGGAGGAATAATAAATTCTGATTAACGATTTACCATGATTACGATAACCTTAAAACGTTTGCAAGATTTCAGAGAATTCGGTTTTGTAATTTCCAAATTAAATTGCAAAACATTGTTATACAATTTTAACTATATTTCCAAAAATCTGGATGTATAGGGTGAAAACTCAACACGGATTCATACACCACAAGTGCAGGAATATCGTATTTTAAAAAACTGAAAACAAATTTGACAACAATCAGTCCAGTAGTTTCGGAGATTACGCGTCTAATAAAAATCTACAGAGACGCCAGACAAACAGACAGACAGACGGAAACGGGTTCGTGCTCGTACTCTAGGAAGTAAAAAGTTTTTAATTGGTATTAAAAGCGGCAGTATTTAAGATTAGTTAAAGTGAAGACCAGAAAATAGTGAACATTGACTTTCTGTTTTGAAAACACTTTTAAAAATTCACGGATTCCTGGTCTCTACTGTACAGTCAATTTCATAATCAGTACTTCAGCAGTCCAAATGACAATATAAACAATGTGAGACATCTATCATATCACTAAATTAATTAATAATAATGAATTTATAGTAGAATTAACTATTATACTTCAGAAGCGAGGGAAGTTCTGTTTGTAATATAAATAACTTTAGACTAATCGTAAATTGTCAATATTTTATCAAAAATAGTAATTACGGTTAATTTAGACCAGTGCTCATGTAGTTAATAAAACTTATTATTATTGTTATTAAAACAACCGCACTAAATTATTCCCTCGACTTTACCGCACGAGTGCGTTAACGTATTCTTACACATTAATTGGAGATTTTTAACGTTCAAACTGATGCATGTAATAATGTAGGTGTGGTTGCACCGTTTTGTAAAAATTTTGGTCACTTTTTTGGTTCTGATTACGTATGGTACTCTCACCAGTAGTACCGGTATTGAGTTTTTTTTTTATTAATAACCACTATGCAGAAATAAGAATGTAATAATGGTTCATAATTTTAAAATTACTGACATCGTCAACCGTAATTACAAGCCTCACTACCTATATACACACATTTTCCAAGACGGAAAGTGCTAAGATATTGCCATAACCGTGAAATTATCGCAATTGACCATTAGTACGACACAATCGGTCATTATCGGTTTATTAATTACCACTCACCAGCAGCACCACACAAGTCGACAAACCAACTGTACCAAATTATCGCCTAGTTCCCTCACACGCGATTGAACCTCACGCTCCACAATTCCCGGCAGTTCACCCGCAACGCACCACCTCCTAGCCCCAATACTCACCAAATAGCTCAGCCGATGGCACTTTTTCCCAACTTCGCACTGTTTTCTCTACGAGCACATGGCAAGGTGTGTCTTTCGACGAGTCCGCGGCACAACTGACCTTCGCCACTTCTTGCCCAACACTCCGAAGCAGTGAAAGTCAGCGCCGAAGAAATCCGCAACGCTACGTCAGAGGACTCCTCGCGTCGTCGGAATGCTCGCTCCACGTCACATCCTCGGAAGGACCGATCCGATAACATCGGACGTTGCTCACTTGTTTTCCAGTGCGAGCGCTAATTGGTCCAACGTGGACGCGATAGCATTGACACAATTGCCGCTTCCGAGACTGCACGACCTCCGCTCGATTCCGCTGGGTGCCGTCAAGGTGGTGCCAGCAATGGCACCGAGGGTGTTGGGATTTTTTCGATCACGATTTGGGTCACCGATGGGTTGATCTTGCTTGGTGCAGCGTGAGGGTACGCGATTTCAAGGCTTGCGGATAACGCGACTGTCTTCCTGGCTTTGGGCTAGGTTGCATCTCGGTGGCCTATATGTGCGTGGAACGTGGGTCAAGAACTACCTAAATGCATTTGAACCTTGAGGTTACCTTCTCTCGTGATCGAAATTTATTGGTTCGAGAAGAATGGGAACAAGACTGTTAGGAAAAAGTTAACTATATTGTTAAAAATGATAAGTGGGGCAAGTGTCGCGGTTGACAAGGTGGTCTTGATTACCTTTTGATAGTACGGTACCGACGAACAACCCTCGAAAGTAGTTGAACTCAAAGATGTCTATGATAATGTCTATTGACTGACTTAAGATATCGTATGGTAACATGGTACTGAAAGTACTAAGAGGAGCAAATTTAATTTAACTTTCCTCTAAAGTGTATTATAGTATGAAAAATTGGTTCTTTTTCATAGATTTCTTGGACACCTTGGCATTCACGGGTTGTCTGTCACTGCTTTAGAGGGCAACCTCTTTAAATCGGTGTTTCCAAGTGTACCTACCAATTTTCCAAATCTTACTCTTTTTTGCATTAAAGTAGCTTGGAATATAACAATAGAGCAACAACTATATTATTTTACAAAATTAACCTCTGAACTGGTTTCTTAATTCTAGTAGATCGACGTATCGCGGACTGTGCGCTTGTTTCTGGACCCATTAACTGTTGTTCAAGTTGATCATCTTTTTGAACAATAACTGGTAGTGACTCGACACCTGCCGGTACGATGTGTTCTTCTGTTGACCTAATTTCTTTCACTTGAATGAGCTCTTGATTTTGTGTGTTTTCTGTTGATTGAATCAGAATGTTGGTTTTTGGAGAATTCTTACAATCAACTTCTAGATTCAAGGTAGTGCCAAAACCTGTTTCAGTGTTGATATTCATTTTCTTCTCCACATTACAGGAACGAAGTTGATTGTAATGACCCTTAATTACATAACCATCGTCTAGTTCTACTGAATAGTGTAGAATCGAAACTCGATTTGATTTTCTTTTTTGCTGATTCAGTTGGTGTCATAAAATCTAACTTGGTTCGTACATTTCTTCCCAAAAACAGTTCAGGAGGTATGTGTCCAGAAGATAACGGAGTAATTCGATACCGCAGGAGGAACTTACAAAGTTTCGCGTGTAATCACCGGGTTCATTCATCATGTATTTAAATTTTGTTGTTAATGTTTGATAGTATCGTTCTGCTTGACCATTTGTGGCTGGATATCCTGGTGCAATCATCCGTTGTCTAATACCATTCCGTCCACAAAATGCTCTAGATTCATTTGATTTGAAGATGGTTGCATTGTCACTAACTAATATTTTTGGTAATCCATACAGGCTAAAGATTTCTCGTAAATGATACATGCTGTTTGCTAGTGTAGGAGAATTTTTAACCATAATCACTTCTGGCCATTTGGATTTGGCATCAACAAGAATTAGAAAATGATGGTTGTAAAATGGGCCTCTTTTCTGGCATTTCCCACTGATGAATCAATGCCTTTGTAGGATTTTTCTTAACATCGCAACAAGCTTGACAACTTTTAACCATATTTTCGATGTCAGAATCGATGCCTTTCCAGTAACAATAGTTTCTTGCTAGATATTTCATTTTAACCATTCCTAGGTGTCTTAAATGAAGTTCTTGTAGAGTAATGTGTTGTAATTTTGTTGGAATTACCACACAATGTTCTCTAAATATTATTCAATCGTGCTGTGAAAATTCTAGATCTCTTTTAGTTCCATTTAGAATTTCTTTCTTCATTTTACATAATTCTGGATCTGTTCTTGTTTCTTTTTCAATTTCATGAGCTGTGACTGTTTCCGTAATCTAATTAATTAAAATCGTATTTAACACGTATTCATCATCAATTTTTTCTTCTTCTTTTGGCGATAATTTCAATGGACTTCTGGAGAAATAATCAACATTTACATGGATTTTCGCCATTCGATGGAATAATTGAAACCGGATAAAAATTGTGCATATCTTAATATTCTGGTTGCAGATAAGGCTGGAAGTTGTTTTTGAGGATTTAAAATAATACTCAGTGGTTTATTATCCACAATTAGAATAAATTTCCTTTCATAAATATAACGAAAAAAATCTTTTGAAACTCCAATAGATGGTTGTTGCCTCTTTATCTAATTGCCTATAACTACGTTCAGCTTTTGTCAACGACCTGGATGCAAAAGCAACTGGTCTTTCAAATCCGTCTGGAAAACGCCTGAAAGTCCATACGGGCTGGCGTCTATGGCAAATTTTATGTCTAAATCAGGTGTAAAAAACATGAGAATTCGTTCACTGGCTATTTCAGCTTTGGCTTTTTTGAACGCTGCTTCACATTCGACAGATCATTTAAAATTTGTGTCTTTTCTTAACAGACGGTTCAATGGACTAACATGCTGGATACACTAGGAATAAATTTTGCATAATACATCACCATTCCAAGAAAACGTTGAAGTTCTTCTAAAGAGTTCGGTCTTGGTGCTTCTATGATCGCTTTGATTTTATCTTCAGATTTTTCGAGTCCTTTTTCTGAAATGACATGACCCAAATATTTTGATTTTGTGGGACTAACAGAAACATGGATACTAGAGAGAGACTGGAACAAACTGAAAGACGTGTTGACAAAGGAATTTCAGTGGAAATTGCAAGGGACAAAAAAAGAAAAAGGCAAGGGTAGAGCAAAAGGTGGAATCATAACAGGAGTGAAGAAAGATATAAAAGAAATAGAAGAGGGGGCAATAAAAATGGAAGGCATAGTTGAAAGAAAACTGACTGTAAATAAAAAAAGATGGGGAATCTGTACAATATATAGTAGAGGAATGAGAAACACGAAACAAGAAATACAAGAAAAAATCGAAGGGTCCGAAGAATTTCTACTGTTAGGAGGGGACTTTAATGCCAGAATAGGGAACAAAAGCAGGGAAGAAGACGGGGAACACACAAGAAAATCGAAAGATAAAGTAGAAAACAAAGACGGAAAATTGCTATGGGAATTAATTGAAGAAAGAGGTTGGGAAGTCTTGAATGGGGTGAAAGAAGGGGACGAGGAGGGGGAATTTACCTGGATAGGTAAAAGAGGGGAGTCGGTAATAGACTACATAATAGTAAACGGATTAGCAGAAGAAGAGGTAGAAACATTCAAGATAGGAGAAAGAGTGGACTCCGATCACATGCCACTAGAAGTAAAAATGAGGGGCATATGTAGAGGGAGCGGATGCTAAAGGAATGAAATAGGAAAAGAGAAGAAGATATGGGTATGGAATGAAAAAGGAATTGAGCATTATAAAAAAAAAATGTTGGAAGTGGAATTTACAGAAAAAGAAACTGAAAAGAAAATGGAAGAATTAAAAAGAGAAATTGAAAAAGCAGCCATAAGAAAAGAAATTGTAACGAGAAATTTAGAAAAGAGAAACAGATGGTGGGATAGCAGATGCGGAGATTTAAAAACAGAAGCAAGGAAATGTTTACGAAGGTGGAAAAACGGGAAAGGTATAAAAGAAGAGTACTGGCAAGCAAAAAATAATTATAGAAAACGATGCAAAGAAAAGAAAGAAGAGATACAGCAAGAAGAAGAAGAAAAAATTAAAGCCATAAGAACTGAGCAAGAGGCATGGCAATATATAAATAAAAAACGGAAGAACAAAATCACGAATAGTGAAGACATACCTATAATACAGTGGAAGAAACATTTTATGGAACTGTTGAATGGAAAGGAAGAGACAATTGTAGTGCAAGATAGTAAAACCGGGATTGGTGGTAGAGAAAGGGAGGCGGAGATTCGAGTAGACGAAGTAGGAAAACAAGTAGGAAGACTGAAAAGAGGAAAAGCACCGGGGAGGGATGGGTTGGTAAACGAAGTGTAGATATTTGGAACGCATGGGATGATTGAAAGATTGAGCGAGTTAATGAATGATGTGTGTACGGGTAAAGGTTTTCCCAGGGAATGGAGAGTAGGGCAAATATGCCTAATTCATAAAAAGGGTAGTAAAGAAAAAGTAGAGAATTATCGGGGAATAACTCTCCTAAATACGGCATATAAACTGTACGCAATGGTGTTAAATGAAAGGTTGGTGACAGAGATGAACGAAAAGTGTATATTACCGGAAAGTCAAGCGGGATTTAGAAGAGGTAGAGGGGCTATGGACAATGTATATATCCTGCATCATCTAATAGAAAAAGAGGTCGGGTATATGCACTGTTTGTAGACCTAAAAATCGCGTTTGACACGGTGGACAGAGAGTGTTTGTGGGAATGCATGGAGAGAAGAGGACTGAGTGAAAAGTTAATTGTAGCAGCAAGAGAGATTTATAGAGACAGTGACTAGTGAGAGTGGGAGGAATAGAAAGTGAAATGTTTTGGACGACGAAAAGATTGAGACAGGGATGCCCATTAAGTCCCAGTCTGTTTGCTTGTTACATAAGCGATATCGAGGAAATGTTTAGAGGAGTACAAGCGGGAGGAATTGTGGTGGGGAGGGAAAAGGTATGGTGTTCGGCATTTGCAGATGTTTCGGTAATATTGGCGAAGGATGAATGTGGAATGAATGAGATGAAAAAAAATCTGCAAAGATACTTTAAAAGAAAGAAACTGGAGGTAAATGTAGAAAAAACAAAAATGATGGTGTTTAGAAAAAAAGGGAGAAAAGGGGAGGAAAAAGTGTGGCGTTGGAAAGATCGAATCATAGACACAGTAAAGGAGTTTAAATATTTAGGATTTAAGTTTACAACAACTAACACGGTAAAAGCAGACATAAGAAAAAGAAGGGTCAAAGCAATGCAGATAATGGGAATGGTGTGGAGTATAGGCAGTACAAGAAAAATATTTGAGGAGGATGTTAGGGCTACGGAAAGAGACACCACGCTATATAGTAAGAGAAGAATGTAAACGAGAGAAATTAAGAGTATACACTGGGAAAAGAGCTGGAAAGTATGATGAAAGGTTGAAAGAAAAAGAGGAATGTAGAATATTATATGAATGCTGGAAGGAAACAAAAAAGGAAGCAGGGAAAGAACATCACAAGGGTAGACAAGGATATTATGAAAGACTAGGATATGCATGGATGGAAATAGAAAGAAAGAGAGAAATGAGGGTGAGTATGAGAGAAGAGTTGTGTATGCGTGACAGAGACATAGATAAACAAGAGAGAAAAGCGAGTGTAAGTAAATCTAGGTACAATGCGGACTATAGAAAGATAATAACAAAAACAATACCAAAGTACCTAGACAGAGAAAGCGCGAAAGAAAAAAAAATAATTGCGAGATTTAGGTGTGGAAATGAAGAAAGAAATAATAAGTTTTGGGTAAGCGAAGGTGAGAGAATGTGTAGGATGTGTGGAGAAGGGCGAGAGAGAGCACATGCTGCATGACTGTGAGGAGAGCAAAGAAAGAGAGGAGAGTGTGGCAGAGATCTTGAATGAAGACGGAAGAGGGGTGGAATAAATGAAAGAAGTGGAGAGGACAAGAGCAGGGCTGGGGCAAGGGGGGATGGGGTAAAGGAAAAAAATGAGTTATTTGGTTTATAAAATGTATTTATTTGGTTTTTGGTAATTAGGAAAAAAAAATTGTAGTGTCAAGAATCTTTTAAGCCCGTAGGGTAAAAAAATAAACACTTACATGACCCAAATATTGAATTCTCTTCTTGAAAAATTGACATTACGTAATCGTTCAAGAACTTTAATTAAACGAAATTTACATTCTTCAATAGAAGAACCTTGAACCATTATATCAAAATACGCTGTGGTACCTTCTAAATCGTGAACAATTTGATCGACGACTTTATGAAATTCATTTGGAGCCGTTTTGATACCAAAGAAGAGTTGTTTAGCTAAATAGGTACCATTTTTCATTTTATTGAAAATATCTTCTACTCTGAATTGATTATCTTGAAGTTGATTGTTGATAGTTACTTTGTAATCAGCACACAGTCTAATGTCACCATTCTTCTTCGGCACAATAACAAAAGGTGTTCCCCACTCGAAGTGATCACTTTTCTTAATAATACATTGATTTTCTAAGTCATCTAACTCCTGTTCAACTTTCTCTTGCAGAGCGTAAGGAACTCGGCGAGGCTTTATAAAAATTAGTTGTGCATTAGCTCGAAGAGATAAAGAGCATTGATAGTTTGGAATTTCACCAACTTTTGGTTGAAAAACGTCGCTGAATTGATTGAAAATTTCTAACATTGATGGTTGACAAGTAGAAATAAAATAAAAGTCATGAAGACTTATCTGTAGGTTTCGAATCCATCTTTTTCCCATAATGGCTGTACCATAATCAGAAACGACAAATAAATCTCCCATGAACTTCTTCTTTTTATATGTAGCAGCTATTCGTATGTAACCCAGAGGTTTAAATATTTGTTTTGTATAGGAACGAAATTGAATGTTTGTACTTCGAAGAGTCACTTTAAGATTCAATGCATCGAAGATTTTCTTTGAAGTGATGCTGACTGGACTGCCGGTATAACATTCAAATTTAACTGGTTTGTCAAGAATTTGTACTGTAATGAACAATCTTGGTTCATAAGCTGACGAAGAAGTGTTGAAGATGTCGATAATATTATTTATTTGAAATTCTTCATCAACAGAGGAATTTGAACCGATGTCGACGTTTTTGACAGTTTATCGATTTGTTTGAAGTAATGTAGAAATGCATACTTTATTTGTGTGCCCCTTTTTTCGACAAAGATTACAAAGAAGTTTTTTTTTGATGCAACAGTTGTCAGTTTGATGATTCTTTTTTCCACAACGTAAATACAATCCGGATAAACCCAATCCTTGTAAATTTATGCTTCGACCTGTTATTTTTGACGTGAAGATCTATTTTGATTATATTTTATTATATATGAAACATATTATAACAAAAATATACGGTCACACCCTCCTTCCAAAAACAAAGTTTCTAGTACTTGCCAAGATAAGACTGATTTTGGCAAATGACATACCTTTAAGAAAAAAAAGGGCGGGTGGGCGGGGCTTGTGTCGTCTAAGGTGAAACGTATTTTAGCCGACTGGAAAAACACCAAATAAGGCAAAAAACAAAAATTCAATAATTCATTTTATTTTTTACAAGTAGGTATAATATTTATTCAATCAATTAAAATAAATAAATAAAACATACAAGAAACCGTATCTACTCGTGTGTTTTTTTTTTTCTGTGTTTATAGAAACATAAAGGATTTTTATTCTTTACGAGTATAATATTTATTCAATCAATCAAAATAAATAAATAAAACCTACAAAAAACCCGTACCTACTCGTGTTATTTCCTGTGTTTATAGAAACATGACGAATTTTTAGTTTTCTATGGACACTGTTTACAACGATGCCATTTAGAATCTTTCCCATCCGCGTGGCAACTGTTTATGTGAGTTTTTAAAGAACTATTCAAGTTAGTTTTATATGGACAGAATTTGCATTGATACAACTTGTCGTCTGAATGGTGGATATTTATAATTCGCACACTGATACCATTCTGGTTTTTCTGAATGTATGCGATTTATATGCTGCTTCAAGAGCAACTATATTTAGTTCTGGAGGCACACTGTTCGCATTCGTACCACTTGACCCAGTGGTTAAAAGTAATTCAATTACAAGTAATTCATTACTGTAATTCAATTCCTTTTCAAGTAATGAGTAATTGTAACGATTTTTTTTCTCACTTTTTGCAATTACTTTTAACCCAAATACTCAAAAATATTGTTTTGTTTTTCTCTAGGAATCGTTTACCTGATTATACCTGGTTCGTTCCCACAAGCAGAAGATTAACCCAGTAGGGAGTAAAATCTAAAACGAGTTTAGCACAGAATTTGTTAATAAGAAACCAGGTAACCATAATATACATAAGCATACCATATTTTCATTCATTCATTTTAAGGGTGAGCTAAAGCATATTCCAGCATAGGGAAATACAAATAAACCTCTGCCCAAGTTTTTGCCAAAAGTATACGTCCGATTGTAATAAACTTCACACCGTTGAAATGAGCATAAAAATACCCTACCCAAACTGCTTTTCCGTTTTTTAAATTTTGTTGTCAAAAAAAACTACAACGACTATTATCTGGTTTTCATTATTTATGAATCAATTTTAAATTTTCAAAAAATACATTTGTAGAAATTGTATTAAAAAATCTATTGCGCTTTACAGAAATAAAATATTTTAATGAATAATTGATTAACAGGGGCAGAATATTTAAAGTTTGTGGTCAAATAAACTTTAGCGTTACGGTCGCAAACTCGTGGTTGGGTGGCGGCTATTGGACCAAGCCAACAGCATCACGTCATTCCGATAGCCCCTGACATCTATTCTAGGCCTGCATCCTTTGTGTTGTGCAGATGGCGCGACCGCCAGCTCGACAAGAAACCGCGCACTCCGCTTCCACCACGTGTTATTGTGTTATTTACCTCAATTCCATTTAAATGTTCAATTTCTATAACTCTGATATTAAACGACAACTGAACAAGTGTTAAAGTTTCAAAAAAAGAAATAAACAACATTTAAATTCGTGAAATTTGAAACAGTAAATAATTATTCTCTGAGATTAAGATTGGACAGCAGACAATTTATATGATGGAAGCAATAATTAACAAAATATTTACATAAAAAAACAGCAAAGATTTATAAAAACAAAAAACAAATCTGGTGTGAAATAAAACTTGTGTAGATAAAAAATTACATAAGATTAGGAACTGCAGAGCATGCAAATTTACGTTCAATTTAAATTATACAACAAAGAAAATTACTGAAGTTAAAATTGCATGAGGTGAAAAATTGCAAAGCTAACATATGAGTTTAATATTTGTCACACGTTATCAACGATTCAGATAAAGAATTTACATGATGTTAAATTATGCCACACTTTATCGACGATTCAAACAGAGAATTTACATGAAGTTAAATTATGCCACACTTTATCAACGGTTCAAACGGAGAATTTACGTGACGTGAAATTATGGCTTGATCCAAGTGATCCCAATTAGCTTTGGAAGTTTATCGTGGGCTGTCCTCAGCTTATCCCAAACAAAGCACATGATAAATAAACACAAAATTCATCCACCGTTGCCAGGAATATACGTCTCGGTCTCGGTGATATAATTTTCCACGTTGCGAGAAAAATGTCTCGATGATGTAATATGATGATAACGATGATAACTGCCTAAGGGGAAAAATCTAATCCTCCCGTACTGAGGTCCAGGATATTATGAATTCTACCGCACTTTCCCGGTCTTCTTCCCAGAATAGGACGTTATATAGATTTAACTGCCTTTGTGTGAGGCATGTTATAATGTAACACTTAGTATAAGCATCAAGAAACCATGTTCATAATTTGATAAACAAAGGATGAGTCCTGACTAAGTGAATCTCATAAAATCTCCTAGCAAGTACTTTATTTGAACAAATCTCATGACTCTTAAATTGTATTCGAAACAGTAACAGTTAAAATCCTAACGGAGTTTATAAATGACAATTTCCAGTAGCAAGTTTATAAATCCCAGTTAATGATTAAAATCCTAACATGAACTGTGAGTTTACAAACAATAAATCAAATTTGCACTACGTGGTGGCGTCGGTCGAAAATTTGCATATTTCCGCTTCGAAAAACCGCAAGAATTAACTACGCGGGAAACTGTGGCGTTGTCGTCGTTACGATAAATTTTCGTTAAACAAAGACTTACCATCTTTATTAACTTCCAAACCAACTAAACTTAATCCAGCTAACTCACCACGTGGTTTCACTCACACCAAACAAACCAAAAGTGACGCCTCTCGCCCCTTCAGCAATCAAATCAACTTCTACCAACCCTCTCAACAGAAATTCCCTTGGAGAGCTACCAACTACCAGAAAAGAACTAAACTTGCATATGGTTGCCTATGTTTAACGATTTCCTTGACTGACTTTTTTTCAAATTCAAATTGTTCAAATGCGATTTCGCGCCGTTTTTTTTTCAGCGCGAAATTTTAATTCAAATTTGGTCACCACGCAGTTATTATTGAATTTAAATTATGAATATAGTCCTCGTGCGTGAGGAACCGTACAAAAAATTGTGTTTTCATCAAATTTTTCAAAGTACAAAAAGTAATTGTAATTTATATGTATGTTTCGGTTTTTGGATTTCTCGGTTTTTCGATTTTTTACTTTTGGGCTTTTCAATTTTTCGATTTCTCGAGTTTTCAGTTCTTTGTTTCAATTTTTCAATTTTCCAAATTTTTAAATTTTCTATTTTCCAATTTTTCAAATTTTGACTGCTAAATTTTCAGTTATCCGATTTTTTAAATTTTTCAAATCCACAAGAAAATGTTTTTCAACTAATTTTAGCAGATAATTGAAAAATGGTCGAAAATGTCAAAAGTGCCAAAATCAGTCTTACCTTATCAAATAGTAGCCCCGCCCACCCACCCTCTTCTCATTCTAACGACTAATTTTATTTCTGTTCAGTATAAAACCATTCATTTCATTCGGTTAAACCAATCACTGAAAAGGAGACAGGGTGGGTGGGCGGGGCAAATTTCGTTCTTTTATCAAGTGGGAATGGAAAAAATCTGTCTTATCTTAGCAAGTACTAGCCCCGCCCACCCGCCCTCTATTTTCTTAGAAGGTATATCATTTGCCAAAAAAGACAGGGTGGGTGGGTGGGGCTAATTTTGTTCAGTATAAGATCGCTCATTTCATTCAATTAGTCACTGAAAAGGAGACAAGTTGGGTGGGCTGGACTAATTTTGTTCTTCTGTCAAGTGGGAGTTGAAACTACTAATAGAATCTAAAATGTGAGAAAAGTAAAAAAAGCTCTGATCGTAACTTTTTTTGTTGAAATCAGTCTTATCTGAGCTAGTAGCTGCTAAGATAAGACTGATTTTGGCAAATGAGATCCCTTAAGAAAATTAGGGTGGGTGGGCGGGGTTAGTACTTGCTAAAATAAGATCGATTTTGGCAAATGACATACCCTTTAAGAAAAGAGAGGGAGGGTGGGCGGGGCTAGTATCTGCTAGAATAAGACTGATTTTGGCAAATAAGATCCATCTAAAATAATAGAGGGCGGGGCTAGTTCCTGCTAAGGTAAGAGTGATTTTGGCAAATGACATATTCTTTAAGAAAAGAGAGGGCGGGTGGGCGGGGCTATTGCTTGCTGATAAAAGACCGTGAGAAAAAGTTAAACTTAGCCCCGTCCACCCACCCGTTCTCTCATTTTTTCTTCTAAAATAAGAAATAAATCTTATATCAAATAGTATAAAAAAAAATTACGGTTAGCGCTTTTTTTTA